TATATCTTTCTCATGAAGTCAGAGTAGTTCCATTTATCTTTCTCCCTACTCTGAGATATGGTGAAATGAAGAATAATTTAGATGTGCTAATGTTAAAATTTAAAATAAATTGTGATGGTTTTTCAACTCCACTCTTAATTTACTTTTCGATCTGGTCAATTGAATTGTTAAAATATGTTGTGAAACATATGATCCGGGAAATGGAGTATGAGTTCTACAACAGAGTGAGAATCACATTTAAGTCCATGGAGGAGTATTTTGTTCTTGAAATTAAGTGCAAATAAATAGGAAAATATACATTGTTAGGTGTAGAATTAGAGATTTTACGGAGACAGACTAAAAATTCTCAATTCGATCTTATTGTTTAAAAATTAAAGCGAGAGTTAGCCTTCAGGGGAAGAGAAGTGGGAGCTCTAGAGTGGGAGTCAGTATCCTCCTAGCCTAGCCACGGATTTAAGGACTAAACCTAAGATTAGTCATTGATTTTCTATAACACTGAATCAGGATAGAAAATTGAAATTGCACATATTTGACACAATACAAATTTAAACCATTTATCTCATCTCATTTCACCAAAAACTCATTGTAGTGGGAAAATTGTTTTTCATATTAGAAAACTTCATCACATAAACATAGTTTATTAGTTACTATTTTAAACTCTACATTTAAATTTTGCTAGTAGTTAATAATTTTGCTTTGATAATATCTAAAACATTCAAAATTAGTGACAGTAATTTCGTTGTATTTTTGTGAATTTGCTAGTTAATTCATCATTTCAAATTTAAATCTTCCTCATGAGATCGATATTTGGGACTTAAATAGAAAGTCTTATATTACTTGATAACGATACGTATACTTGCGTAAAATCTCAACATTAAGTGCTTAAAGTTATTATTCATAAAATATGACATCAATTTTTTGGCACCGCTTTAAAGCGGAGTTAACTTTATAAATTTTACACAATTATATTCACCGAGATCAAAACCCGAGAAGGTATAAAGTAGACACTCAGTCCTGACGCCTAACTTGTTTCCATATCACGATTTTTTCACAATTTTGATTAAATTGAGGTCAGTTCAAGCCCCCAAACACCTGAAAATGCAGGACTCCCTTGGGCAAAGGAGAGATATGCATAGGGAGAAGAACAGTGGATTTTTTATATCTTTTTAGCACTTTTAGAGCGAGTTTTAAAAAGGGGGGAACAACCATTTTTGGTAAAGAGAATGAAAGAAAGGTTGAGTTTGGATCCTTATGGAAATATGCTCTTGAGAAGGTGGAGAAGCTGAGAAAAGAGGCCACTTTCTCTTCGTCTTTAGCCCAAATGACAGCCAGAAGATCATGAAATCGTCGTTTGACCGAACGTCTTGGCCAACCGACACAATACACGATAGCCACTCAGCCTGTCGCCCACGGCGGTCGAAAT